CGATAGACTGCTAGTAAAATCTATGCATGAAATGCATTGGTTATAGATGTACGGAAATTTAAAAATATTAACCTTCATTGGTCGAAAAGACTTAATATTTAACGCTTATCTGATCTAGAAATAGTCTACCAACTTATACACTGTTTATTTAAATGTTGGGAATATATATCACATATATGTAGGGTTCCCACTGGTAATTTCCATACATATATTCAATTTCTTCAAGTGTAGGCAAAATGGGGGAACAACGGGAACTGTACCAGGTGCTGATTGTGCTGGGGGTTTCCCTCTGTTCGTTTGATTGATGATGTGCGATTGTGCAAACAATAATTGCGAAATTACAGTTATGTTCTCGAAAGCGGCAACCCTAAAAGTGTTTCCAAAACGGAAACGAAGTCAAATTACGATGATTGAGATTGATGGCACGATTGAAGACAAGGGGACAATATGGCTTTACTGTGATTTAATGCATACATATGTATGTATTTCTACTTATGTATGCCATTTAAATATACTTACCAAAAACGAACTGCAAATTTATAAAATATGGAAGTGTAGCCATGAACGAAGACAATCCACACCGAAAAGTAACCTTCGATTGATGCACTTTTCTCAGCTTGGAATCTTATCCACATGCCTCTCGATTGAACTCTTGATTAACCACTGGTGCACTCAAATCAACTGATTGATTGATTCACCGCACTCATCAATCATGGGTCACCGCATCTCGAGCAGCTGTCAATCAAATTTAGACAAAAACCAAAGCAATTTCTCAATATCCTTCGCTTTTGTATCTTTTTTCTATATTTTTGCACATAGTTTTTGTTTTATCAGCAGAAAATGCTGAAGAAGCCGGCTGGGCGAAGGCAACAATTAAAAGCTGGTGAAAACAAAAGGAGCAGAAATAGTGAAAAAGATGCGGGCAGCAGCAGCAACAACAAGGAGCATACCGAAAGATTCGCAACAAAAATCTGCTCAATCACTTTTCACTTAACCCAAACACAAGAACTTCAAGTTGAGCAGAGCAGAAAACGGGGGTTCCGAAGAGGGTTAAGCGTAGGATGTAGGTTGGGTCCGGGCTCAAAGCGCTCTTCTGCGGGCAGAAGAAAGAAAGAGAGAGTGTGAGGGCAAAAGTGATGTGTGGGCTTTTGAATACCAGCAAAAAAGAAGAAAACAACGATCTTTTTCAGCTTCCCGACTACATTACTTACCCCCAACTTAAAAATACCAAATATTTTATGAGAACTAATAATGTTAACATTAAGTTTTTTAATGTTTTATAAGTATTTGACCGATCCAAGTGAAAGTACCCAGTTTCACTTGGATCGGTCGAATAATATAATAAATTAATATTTAATGATATTTATACCATACCTAGCAAATGCAATCTTTTTATTGGAAACTGTTTGGAACATATTACAATAAAAATAAAAATAAAAAAATAATCATGTTACTTATCTTAAACGAATAAAATGTGAAAATTGGGTTTATTATTTCCAAAGAGTTATATTCAAAATTTCCACAAAAATATCATATTCTAACTATAAGAACCCCTCATACCAAATATTTCAGCTCCACGTCATAAAATCGCGTAGATCAAATGGGTTATACCCTTTGGTCAATTGAGGGGTATCATAAGGAACACGAGGCGTGCAAACAAACAAACAACAAACAACAGCAACAACGGCAAGCAGGCAAAAAGCAAAAGCAAACTTTACGTGTATGATGATATGCAAAAAGGCCAGGCCCTAGGTGCAAGTGGGATGGATGGATTGGGAGTGAGGGAGAGGCAGCACATGTGCCGGCCACTCACTCGCACACACACACTCACACACTTCGGCACACTTGATATTTAATTCCTACTCCAAAAAGGAGAAGAAGCAGCAGCATAAAAGCGTTGGCTACGTCAGCATCAAAAGCATCAGCACTTGACCCACAAAAGTGCAAAAAAAATCAAAAAAAAAGAGAAAAAGTGAGCGAGTAGCATAAAGGAAAGCCGAAAATTTGTTCTTGTTGCTTGACCGAAAAATGTTTGCGAGCAAGCAAAAGTCAGGGCAGAGAGAGATGGAAGGGGTCAGTCGATAACTGCGATGACATCGTGAGAATGTATCGAAAATATCGCGATTAATGCAAATTTTTCTTGGGCCTTTGCCAAGGATATTATTAGGTTTTTGTCAAATTATAGCAATACCTATATATACATACCTTAAATTAGACTAAATTATTTAAAGTAAAAATAATAACGATAACTTCGATGAGCAAATATCGAAACCATCCCATCTTTGAGAAATCTCCATTACAAATAGTGTGTAATTTAAACAACATACTTATTCATTAAATTTATGTCAATAATAATAATTTTCACAATGTGTATTGTGCATATATTAAATATTTTGTTTATTTAATTAAAATTTTAACAAAAAATTTATTTTTAAAAAACCACTGCATTAATTTTTAAAATACCAAAAAAGGTCCATTGCACTATCTCTATAAGCTTTAGAAGTCCTAAGTCGAACGTGTTCCTCAAATAAATGATATTTTCATACAGTTCCTATATGGTGTACCATGCACTCTACCTCGACGTGACTATCGGTAATCTTCTTATCTATCGTTTCCCTTTTGAAGACTCTTCACCGATTGCAAGTTTATGCAAAAAGCTTTGGCCCGGACTTAAATGCTCATTAGAGTGCAGAGAGTGGGGTAGCGAGAGTGCCCCCTCTGGAGACCCCATATCATCTGAAAATATCAGACTCAGAATGCAACCCCCCCCACTAATTCAGCCCCACCCCCTGGCCTTTACAGCAAGTGCAGTTTGTTATTGTTGTTGTTTCGCCTTGCACTTCAAGCTTCTTAAGGGAAAGAGTTTCCAAAAAAGGGGGGTTGGTGAAAGTGGGTTGGTTTTTCGGGGGGTGGCTGGGTGGTATGTGGTTCCGACTTATTGGCAGTTTCGAATGTGTCAGCAGCAGCAGGTGCCACGCCCCTAAGCCCCGCCGCCCTCCTAATACTCGTTGATGATGAAAGTGCGTCAAATGGTTTTTTGATTTGCTTGTTTGCGTAACTGAGCTACAACTTGCCCCTGGACCGCTCTAATCCTGGGAAAATCCAGGGGAAACCTGGGAAAACCCCCTTTTCCTAATTGCGTATGCGTGTGCTGAGGCTTCTAGATCCTTGCGTAAATTTAACAAGTTCGCACTTGAGCCGAAAGCAAAGTGAAGCACAAAAACTATGCCTGCCAAAGGGCAAAAAAAAGAGAGAAGGAACAGGGCTAACTAGACGAAGAGTGGATCAAAACTACACTTGGGAAAAACTCCATAACCTCTTCAAAAATTGGTATAAAAAGCTATTAAAATTTTCTTTATTTTTCAAATTTCTAATTTGTTTGTTATTTTTTAATTTAAGGGAATCTGTGAGCAAGGCATTTACTATAAAAATGTGTTACTATATTCAAATCAAAAATCGAATACTATATTTTTATTACTTTTGAGACGTTTCTGATTTTGTTGATAAAATTTTATAGATATATTGTATAACATTTTGTAGGTTAGTAATACTTTTGCAATAAATGAAATTTTATATTTTTCTTGCAGTGCAGCTAGCGCATAAGTGAGCAAGTCTTTGCCTGGGATTAATTTGATTTAGATGTTCAAGTGTTTTGCCTCAAGTTTCCTCTGTTTTTCCATCTTACCCGCCTTCTCCCGCAGAACTAAACTTTTTCGACTTGTTAGATACTCTTGGTAAACTTTTTTTTAAATGTCTGTGGGTAAAGTTGAATAAAGTGAGCAGCGATATATAAATGAATTTAATTTTTACGCTGTTTTCAATAGCACATTAAAAATTGGAAATAAAAGGAAAAAGATATATTATATATAATAACGTAATAAAGTAACAAGTGAAATGGGAAACATCTAGGGTTTTCTGTAGACTTTAACAAAAACGAAACAAACTTCGTCTAGTTGAATTTATTTCTCCTAACTGATTCTCCCCCTCTTTTTTGGGGGCAACAAAGTTGCTGTTGACAGGTCGTACCAAAATCAGGAAAATAAAAAAAAAAACACTTAAAACGCTGATTTACGTCACGTCTAAGACAGGCAACAACAACACTCCTTCGTTAACCCTTAATTGAATGAGGGTGGGATTTTGGGGATTTTCGGGGCAAAGGATCATTACGACGCACAATTCTCTCGTTTTTTCATTCTTGCTTCTTTTTTTTTTGCCAAATTGACTTTTGTACAAAAGTGCAATGAAATTGGGTGTTAAGGAATGACGGGGCTACAAATCGATGAGGTGTTACTAAAACCCCCCCTTTTTTCTCACTTTCTGCCGCTCCGCTTTGACAGCTGCAAATTAATTAGATTTAATTATTGGCCCCATTCCAGTCACCTTCTTGTTGTCCTTGTATATTGATTGAGCCTAATTAACTGTGCTTGAAGTTTTGTACGCGCTCTGCAAAATTTCAATCATCCATCAAAGCCAAATCAGGACTTCCAGAGGGTCGGGGAAAATGTGCGAGGGGGAAAATGGGTGGGAAAATCACTGCAAGAGCTGGTGGAAATGGGCGGAAGCTGATTGGTTATTTTGCAACTGGTTTCTTTCGCTTGTATAAATTACAATAGATGCAATTATGAAGGCACTCCGAATCAATCAATTAATTTTCTTATCAGTACATATGTATTTCACTTAATAATGCGGGGTTTGGGTTTCAAATTCCTTCGTAAATGGGAATTTAAAATGTCTGGCATTAAAGGCATATTATTATCTATCCATTATGGTTACATCGTAAACTTAATACGGTACCCTTATAAAAAACGGAAGAATTTGTAATAAAAATACTTTTTAAAGTCGGTTAAACAGTTGTTATTTTTGCTCTGCGCGTTGGTTTGACTAAGCTACGAATGGAAAACCACAAGAAAAAAACAGTATTTTTGACTAAAATCCGAGTCACACAATACATGTTTTATTTTCTTATCACCAAGAGTTCAACTCAGAATTGTGAAAATGAATTATTTATTCCGATATCTGTACGAAAGCAGGTACATTGTCTTTACCATTTCGTCAGCCTCAGTTGAAGTCATGGCAAACACCTCAACCAATCCCGTATCAAATAGTTTAGCTGCCACTCCGGGTATTTCCTTGTCCACATAGAAGGCGAAGTTCGTCTCGCGAAGGTTTTCCAAATAAATTGCGTGGGCCTTACGAAATTCCTGCAAGTTAACACTCCAGGGGAAATTGCCACTGGAACAGAGGCGTAAGTGAAGGATTTTGTCGGAGACGTCGACCTTAAAGTTCACGTTCCCCATGATCTTGGCCGACATATCACTAAGGGTTTCCGCCACCTGTTCTTCGCATCCTCCGTTAAAAATCATCAACACGCCATTGGCCCATATCCATCCTACCCGTGAAGGCCCAAGTCGCACTTCGACTATACCTATGGCGCTGTTGTAGTAGGCGTTATCCACTTCCTCCACATCCAAGTCAAGATCCAGTTCTGTATTCATTTGAAGTACGGAAAATAGATCACAGTTCATCGTTTCAAGGCACATGCGCGAGGGCTTGCTTTTAGGGTTAGTAGGACCTTTGCCTTCTTTCGAGGAAGATGCCCCGGACATCACGCATTCCATTGCTTCAGGGGGTGGAGATTCTGACTTCTCCTGACTTTCCATAGAACTCTCAGGACACTCCGATTCCGACGGCGCCACCACACCATTCAGATCCGAACCCTCCACACTAATCTGATCGGGTAGCGGTTCTAAGACTGAGCCACTGAATTGGTTTTAATTTAATTAAATAATGAAATTTGAATTATTTGCCTAATTTACTTAAGATGGCTTACCAGGGCGAAGGAAGTTCAGAGTCTGTTCGTATTGGCTCATCTATCCCTGGATTTTCTACAGGCATTGGGGTCCTAAATTGAAGAAAACCCATGTTATAAGTACGCTAAGCATCCTAGCTGCTAAGCTTTAAAGTATCTGTTACGTCCTACCTGTCAGAAAACTCGGACATCTTTCGGCGCTTCATGGCCTGGCTGCTTGTGGAGGGACCTTCCTCCTCTGATTCCTCCCAAGAATACATATTGCGACTTTGGCTTGTGAAGGGTCCATCCTCCTCTGCGAAGTCCGCAAACATGTTCCTTAGCAATCCTCCGCTGTGCAAGCGTTTTCTAAATGCCTCTTGTTCCGCTTCCGATAAATCTTCGAATTTTTTTTTCGACCGATTTGCCATTGCTCGTTTAGAAAAAATCACAAGTCACCTTTAGCTCCGTTTTGTTAATATCAAATGTCGAACTGAATTGTCAGACGTAATATTTTTCAAGAACTCTCAGGTTGCTTCGTTAGCAATTTTCGTTCGATAAGACCTATCTGCTGAAAACCAGAGTTGTCACCCTATTACCTTAAAAAGCCATGGCAACTCTGTAACATTTTAATATGGCCAGTAAGCCATATTTACTTTAAAATCAATGTACGCATTTACTTATAATAAAAAATAAAATGTTACTTGTTATTACTTCCGAAAAAATGTAAAACAGCTGTTTGAAAATTCGACAGGTTTCATTAAGAATCGTTTCCTCAATTGCTTAAATTTGTGAAATTTTCAACAATTCAGCAATTTATTAGTTTAGGCCTTAGGTCTTTTTTCCATATCATGCGTTTTCGGGATGACATTTTCCAAACAGTTTTAATTTTAGTTCTTTTGTTTTAATTATAGCTTCGGTGTTTTTTGTCATAGAATCTTCTACTGTTAGGAATTTTTTCTTAATATTTCAGAATTTCGAACTTTTTCAAAAAAAATCGGGCCACTATTACTAAATTTGATAAAAATTGGACACTTTATCATAAAGCTGCCATAGGAAAGATAGGAAATCGGCTTGCCGTAGTAAGCTGCAGATTGTTTGCAAAAAAGTTTATATTAAAAAAAGCTTACATTGTGGGTTAATTTAAGCTCTTAGCCGTGAAATGACTTCTCTCGATTTGAAATACCATAAATCTACATTCCTTTGTACATTTTTTTTGGCTACTTAAGGTGGTCATTTTTTATCCGCAACTAAAAATTTTGTGGAGCGACATTTATCAAACGCTTGAATGATATGTGCATGGCTTTTATAAGTATGAACGCTGCCTTTTTTTTGCAATTAATTCGCCAAATCATTTATCAATCAATCAGTGGTAATGTATAGAGCCAAAGAAAAACAGACTTTACAAAAAACTTGAAAAAAGGCAGTGGACAACCGCAGACCAAAGCACTTGACAAGTGTGCCAAAAAGGCAAAAAACGACAAGGTCGTTGTCCACTTGTGAAGGCCTTACCTCCCCACATCCTCTCCCCCAAAAGCCCAACGAAAATTGGCTTACAATTGGTCTTGTAGAGCAGCCGAAAAAGTACTAAGTAAATCAAACGTCAAGTGGTAAAAAGCACCCAAAAACACCAAACACACAAAAAACAACAAGGCTAAAAAAAAACCGGTAGAACAAACACGTCACGGCAATTAAAAGCCAACGGAATACAAGAAATTTACACAACAACAAAAATCGAATAATTGGTGGAGGGAAAGGGGGGGTCGGTAAAAAACTAAGCCACATTTGTTGTTGTTGCCATGTCAATTGACCATCGGTTTGAGGGATACCAAAAAAAAGCCACCAAGAATTCGAGAAATATCGACAGACAAAGCTGAAGAATGGACAAAAAAACAAGGAAGAACGCTATAGTCGAGTACCTCGACTATCAGATACCCGTTACTCAGCTAAATGGAGATATGCAAGCAGCAAAGCGAGATTAAAATGCGCCACCTACCGGCGGTATACAGATTTAAGCGTTATGGGCGTTAGAGTGGGCGTGGCAAATTTTTTTTTGGATCAATCGATAGGTATCGACGAGACCAATACATTTCAGTTACAATTTTTTATCTAGCATGAAAATTGTGGGCGTCACAGGTTTTTGCGGTTTGTGGGCGTTAAAGTGGGCGTGGCAAACTTTTTTTTGAGTCAATCGATAGGTAATGACGAGACAAATACATTTCAGTTAAAATTTTTTATCTAGCATAAAAATTGTGGGCGTCACAGGTTTTCGCGGTTTGTGGGCGTTAAAGTGGGCGTGGCAAACTTTTTTTTAGGTCAATCGATAGGTATTGATGAGAACATTACATTTCAGTTAAAATTTTTATTCTAGCATCAAAACTGTAGGAGCCACAGTTTTGGGCGGTTTGTGGGCGTTAGAGTGGGCGTGGCACTCTACTGAAACAAACTTGCGCTGCGCAGGAATCTCAGGAATCTGCGTGCCTAATCCCAGTATTGTAACTCTCATAGTTTCCGAGATCTCAGCGTTCATACGGACAGACGGACAGACGGACAGACGGACAGACGGACAGACGGACAGACGGACAGACGGACATGGCTAGATCGACTCGGCTAGTGATCCTGATCAAGAATATATATACTTTATGGGGTCGGAAACGCTTCCTTCTGCCTGTTACATACTTTCCGACGAATCTAGTATACCCTTTTACTCTACGAGTAACGGGTATAAAAAGAGGAGCCGCAGAATTTCATCGGTTCTTACATCTTGCCTGCATTGCCACTTGGCCCCAAAAAACAAAAGGCCAAACGGAAAACTGCCAGAGATGGCAGCTCTACCAACATTTATTGGTAATAGAAAAAATATAGAAAAAAGGATTTAAAAAAGGTCTAACCAGTAGATTTTCTTATATCTAATATGTAATTATTAGTAAATATTTCAATATTTATGCCGAGAAATTGTAAGTTATAAATATTTTAAATAATGAACTGGTATATATCATCGTATTATCATTATCATATTGTTAGATGGTATTATTCATAATTTGTTAAGGCAATTTCCCAGACTTTCCCCACACAAAGTGCCATGATTATCTCAAGCAATCCCGGAGTTTCCTGGCACGTGACTCACGCACCCATCCCTCGATTGCCCCCACGGATCCCCGAAACCCCGAAACCCCGAAACCCCGAGGTCCCCGGATTCCTGGACCCTCCTCTTCCGTCGCAGGATGCCCCACAATTATGCCCTTTCCTGACCACAGACGTGGACACTCTGCATGCCAAACTTTTCCACTTTGCAACTATTTCAAAAGTGAAGCGAAACTTGTGGCCCACTTAGTCGGCCGGCCATGTCTCTATATGTATATATATATATATATATATTTTTGGATATAGCATATATATCCCCTCCGATTCCCGATGTCCGTGTGTCAACGCCGGAGTTTGGGTCTCCGTCGTCGATTTCCAATGCGGTTCGTGTCTCTGCCTGCTGCATGATTTATGATTTCTGCCCCGAAAAGTATTTGTGGCATTCTTGCACACCCGCCCCCGTATTTGTGGCCCCTCCCTGCAGGTCCAAAAAATCCGTTTCCGAGTCCGAGTCCAAATCAGAAGCCAAGTCAGTGGCAGAGTCACAGCCAGAAGCGTTCAAAGTTGTCTACTCAAATCATTTTAATTGAAAATTACACATGAGCGACGACGAGGAACTCGCAAAGGGAAAAAAGCACACTTTTAACACACTTTTTAAATGCCCTAATGCCACGACATTTTAGAATTTACCACGGTGAATTAAATATATATATTAAAAATGAAAAAACAAAACATTGTAAAAAAATATAAAATATTTTGTAAAATTGATATCTTAATTTATTAAATTTGTAAACTTATCCACATATTGTTTTAAAGTTATTTGTTTTTTATGACTTTTACAACCTACTTATTAACGGATCATCAATGATATTATATATATTTTATTACAGTTTTATAAAACCTGTTTTTAGACTGAAATTTTAACTTGCCAAATTGACTATACTTGAAAAAAAATATAGATGCACTGTAAAACTATATAAAATAATTAAACTACTTTTTATCTTAATTAAGTATACTTGAAATAAAAATAGATACACTGTAAGTAATATAAAATTTTTTAACAACTTTTTATCTAAATTCATTAAGTTTGTAAACTTATCCACATATTTCCTTAATTGTATTTATTTGTATAATTCAGCAGATTCTTGTTAGCCAAACTAAGCAATAGTTCTTTATTATGACTTTAAAAAGCTACTAGTTAGGGAGTACTAAGAATATATAAAAGTTTATAATAATAGCAAAAAATATTAAAAATATTTTTTAAGCTATTTCTGATGCATTGGTATGTAAAATACTCAAATTCCTACCTATTTAATCCTGGAAAAGTGGTAATCATAATTTTACCAGCCAAATTCTTGGGTTAGTTATGAGACCCGCGGAAAAGATCTCTAAGATAGGGCAGCGAAATGTATCCGAGCAAAGGGAGTCAGCGAATGGATCCAAGGGCAGTGGATGGTGATGTGGACTTTTAGCACAGCACATGATGTCCTTGGGCTGTGAACCTGTGCCACCCCCCGGGAGTTCCCCCCTGTAGTCCCCAAAACCACCGAGGTGCCCCCTCCCCCACCCAGTAGCCCAGTGCCCCGAATCCCCGCCAGCTACCTATGGTTCCCCCACCGCCCAAAAGGTTTCGCGGGCTTGGCCAGGACCTTGGCTCTCGGTTTTTGGCCTGGCACATGGCACGTTTTGTCCGTACCGGAAATGTCCATTCACTTGCATATTAACAAAGTTCCGCACACTCACACACCAGTTGCCTTTTGGTCTATGCAAATACACGGCGAGAAATGGTCAATTACTTATTAAATTAAAAGTAAAAAATAAGTAAGCAAAATTGTGAAACTTAGAAACCTTTCTACAATGGTGTTCCATAATAAAGAAAATAATTAAAATATTCAGTTTTAGTTCTTAGTTTATATAGGTATACCTATTAAATAGTATGTAACTAATTATTATTAATAAACTAATTAGGTTCTTATATTTTTCGGGTATTATTATAGACTCTGAACAAAAAAGAATTATAAGTATTATAAATGGAATCTTTTATAACTATCATGCGAATTTATTAAGAATATCTATATTTTATTTGCCAATCACTTGGTACTAAATAACCATTGATTTCTCCACCTCTTTGAATACTATTGGTCCCCAAAATGCCCACATGCTATTTATATAAAATAATTATAGTCAAATCACAATCGCATTGGCATATTCTTAATTTATCCCGAGTGTATTCTTGGCAGTACTTAATAAACTCCCCAGGGAGAAACGCAAAAGAGAAGGCCAACCAAGTTGGTCGTACATCATAGGGTCCTTCCATATCCTCGCCATGGGGGGCATTAGAAGGGGGGGTGGGGCTTGGGGAGGGGCGGCAGAAAGGAAACAGGAAAGTATTTCGAAGGCACCGGAAACAGGAAGCAAGCAATAATTCAAATGAATTTCAAATCAAATCATTGCAAAACATTTACAAAGTATGTGCGCCAAAGAGCGCACAAAACCGCACAAGGAGCAAAATGCCAGAGTATTTCAGAGGCTCAACTTTGACTTTTGCCTGCTGCAGGTGGGCGAGGACCCCCTTTTTCCACCGCCCATGCCATTGGTGGCCTTGCAGTGATTAATTTCTATTATTATGACACTGATTAGGTCCACTTACAGGCTCATTACAGTCATGAGCACATAATGCACAGCCAGGACACCTGACGGTGATTTAGGGGGCGCGAAACGGTACAGTGGCGTCGTAAGGGGGGCAGGAGTAGGGGTCACCGGGAGCCCAAGGAGCAACCTGGAGCTCCCCGGGCGCCATCCTGCAGACATTTATCAAGACATTGACCGCCGCATGCAGCGCCGACCGGAGACCGTTTGTCTTGCACTTGACCAGGGGCTCACCAAGGGGGGTTCCACCCGGGGCAGCACACAAACACACACACACAGCGATGGGGGCCCTCCTGAACATGAACACCAGTTGGCCCATAAATTAGAGCCACAACCCCAAACACACTGGCCTACACAAATTTGAGGTTTCGCAATCGCAGTTGAGGAGTTCACTACACGATTTTAAAATATATTAAAGGTAGGTGTATATCACTGGAAGTTAAAGTATATTATAATATTAAGGAAAATGGACGATAGTTAGGGCTACTCTATAGCAATTAGTATAGATATTATATCTGCTATTATTTTTTTATAGGTCCTAAATAATAAACGGATTAATACAAACAAATATCGGCATATTGTTTCAAAGTTTCGTAGTCGATATTTAGAAAAAACAATAAAAGTCTTAGTACTTAAATTTGACGATTTAATTTAATAATATTTGAATCAAAATTGAAATTAAAAGATTACATAACAGTCTACTTTTAACTTGTTCTAATAAAAATTAAACGAATTTCTTATTAAAATTAAAGTTAAATCAAATTAATTGATCATAATAAACCGCAAGAGATGAGAAACACTGGAAACATTTTAAAATTGAATATGAAAACTTTGATCTTACTAAGTTTAAGTAAATAGTTAATAAATATAAGAAAAGTTTTGATTATAATAACCAAATAGAAGCCCCTTTCTTGCCAACCCAAAATAAAACAACTTTTGTTGCACAGTGTAATTGCTTTCAATTATTTAAATAAATAAATTAAGTTGCCTTCTCGCATACTAATGGTAATAATTAAAAAAAAAATAGCTTGGCTTTGAAAAAAAAAAGGTAATAATTTTGCTTAGCTAGGGAATGGTAGATAGGTGCTTCTTAGCCGCGATTCGGACGCACAACCATCACCTGGGCCTTGTTCTTGTTCCGGCCACGTTTGTTGCCCCGCCGGCGACGTCTTTGATTGTTGTTGATGCCGCCACGCCTCTTGTTGACTCGACGCCTACGGGCGGGGACACGCCTCCTGTTATTCTGGCCGGGACGCACTCGACTGGACACCGCCTGACCGACGATCTGCGGCAGAAGACCGGCGACCGGCGATGATCCATAGATCACCTGATTGATGGCCGCGTTGGTGGCGGATGATGACGAGGATGAGGATGAGGAGCTGGAGGATCCCGTATTGCCCAGATTCACATAGATGGCACCATTGGCAGTCGTCGTCACCACCCCACTCGTTCCCGTTGTACTTGTTCCTGTACCTGAGCCCGTAACCGTACTCGTTCCACCTGTAACTCCTGTTCCAGTTCCCGTTGTACTTGAGCCCGACGCAGTGGGACGCAGTTGCTCCAGCATATCCTGCTTGTTGGTTATGTACTGATTCAGGGCCGAGTTGAGGCCCGAGGAGCTGCTGCTGCTGCTGCTACCACTGTTCAATCCGGAGGCCAGGAATCTCAGCTGGCCGTTCTCGTTGCCATCCTTCACATAGATGCCGGCCAAACGGGTGTTCTGATCCTTGGCCAGGGACTGGGGATCCTTCTCCGCTTTTTGGGCCCAAGAACTGCCCAGAAGGCAGAGCACTAGAATTGCGTAGATCATTTCTGGACGATGGGCTATCGAACTGTGTGTGCCGTTGTCCAGATCATTCGTACTTTTATAGCCCACCATGAGTTGACGGAAAATGGGGAGTCGCGATTGGGACGCTTTCTTTACCCACGGTTCATGGCTGCCAATATGGGTTTTTAGAAAGCCTTTCTTCCAACGTACTATTTTTTTGTGTACCCCCGGGGTAAATAGTTGGCTTCGCCTTTGAGTGGCAAGAGCGTGTCAAGAAGTGGCCGTACTTGTAGGCCATTGTTTGCTTTGCCGCGAATCGTGAACCTCAAGTGGTCACAGCCAGAAAGTCGGAGCCGCACTTTAATTAAAATTTAAAATCAGCTTCAGTTTTGGGAATTTTTTCGGGGCACAGTGGGTTAACGGGGTGACATAGAATTTACTTCAGACTTCTACTGATGATATCATAAGAGATATCACCTAATAGTACCCATTGTGTACAAGTTTTACTATTATTCATACAATTGAGGCATAAATATAAGCTATTAGATAGATTTACTTTAAAAATTCTCCCTTCATAAGGACATTTATACCATTAAAGTAGTAAAGTAGAATTACTTAGACAAATTTTGTTTCGCAAAATAAATCTCCAAAGGGCAATGTAAGAGGATTCTATTAACATCAATGAACATGCACCACCAAGACCGTATTTTTTGCACAATACAAAGTTTAACCCATAAACCGCTGTGGCACTTTTATGCACCCCCTTAACGCATTTTCTCTGTGAGAATTGCATCTTCCCATTTTTAAGATCAACCGCTGTGAGATTGTGCATTCGGAATGGTTTCCATCACTTTGGCGCCAGTGTGCCGCAGATGGCGCCCCCTATTGGGGCGCATTTAACCCCCCCGCTCCACGATGCTTAACCCCCTCTTGCCAGCCTCATTTCATTCTATTGCCGTTGATGCTGCGCTGGTGTGCCTTGCTTCTCAATTTTTCGCCTAAGTTGGCCAACCGACAGTTTTGGGGCTGAATGCCTGGCGGGGGCTGTTGAAATAAATTTCACTTACGCCAACGCTCACACATACGCACTAGATGTACACTGACGAAAAATGCGGATGACTTGTAGGATAGCAGAAAAAAAGTTGAAAATAAAACACATCGCACATTTTTTTTTACTCTTAAACTTTAACATTTTTTTAAATTTGTATCACTTCAGAAATTGAGTATTTTGTATTGCTTTAAAAATAAAGTAACAAATGTGGAAAATTAAGTTTTTGTGAGCTATTTCAAAACAGCATTATTAAAATTCGAATACAAGCCAACGTTTGTAAGGTAAAATTGTTTTCCAAAAAACTAGTTTAAGCTTAAATCTAATTATGAATTTAGTAGGACAATTAATTCTTGAACAAAGTTCGCTTATTTCTTTTATGAAAAATAAAGGTATTTTATAATTTATTTTAAATTACTTGAGAAGGTTTTTCAAAGATGAGTAAGTGTGCTAAAAGCACAAGAGTACAGTACTCATTTCTAAACTATCTATTTTTATTGATTGTTTAATTACTATTTTTGAAAGTCCAATTTTTTTTTTTTGGCACGCTACGTTTTTATGCATTTTATTGAAGCTTTTTACGAAATTAAGAAAATTAATCCTTGGCCATATAAAAAATATTTTTTGAAGTGCAGGTCCACACATGGAAAGTCACACGAATGGAGAGACACATACGAATGTCGCTCACTGTTCGCGGTTCGTCGTTTACTTGGCAATGCAATTACAGGCGCTAACCGCGCGTGAAAACAGCAACAGCAACTGCGGCAATAACAACAACGGCCAGGGGAAAAACTATCCACACCGAAGTTAAGGATATTCTCCTAAAATAAACCCCAAAACCTATAAATATTTTACAAGTTAGTAAAAGAGGAAAATGCCTGGAGGAACTATTAGTTAGTTAATTCCAAATGCATCTGCAAGGGCAATTTCATATAAAATGGTGAATTTTTTAACATTGATGATCAACTCAAGAAAAGTTTGAACTAGTTTATTAGTAAGTAAAATAGAAATATGCCTGATTCCAAGCAATTATCTATGAAAATTTATCAGTAAGTAAAATATAAATATGCCTTGAAAAGCTGTAACTTACTGATTCCAACCAATTATCTATGAAATATTATATATTTATGTAGTTTAAAAATGTTATATTTTTAAAAATCAATGAATGTGTGTTCTTAACGCTTTTTAAAATCTAAATAACTCTAAATATAAACTTATTTGCTTCGAAGCATTTAATATTTGGATAAAATTAAAAAAAATATTACGTAATTTGCCAGGAATATAAATAAGAATATTTGGGATCCTTGTGAACATTTTTCCACTACTGATAAAAAATAATGGTAAAACAAAGGATTTTAAATTAAATTAAAAATTGTGAATTGAATAAGCAGTCCATATAATATCTAAAAATTAAAATTTAAAAAATTTTAAGTAAGGAAACTCATATGTGCGATTTAGAGAGACATTCGGCTAGAGTATGCCCGATAGAGTGTGCCAGCTCCTTGGTTTTCCTCTTGATTCACTTTATCTGGCACCGACCCCCCCCCCCCCTGGCTTTCCCCACCCACTCATATCCTCACCTTCCATTTCCCATTTTCCTGCCACTGAGCGGCTTAAAGCGACGCAATGACAATTAACAACAGGCGACAAAACGACAAAACGAAAGAAGGTGAGCTTGGGGAGGGGGGAAATTCATGGGGATAGGAGGGGGGCATTTGGAAAATTCAGGGGGCTGGGAAAAACTCAGGCGGTCTGCGGGGCTACAGAATGCCATATCAATGACAGCAGCAGAAGCCCGAGAAGAAAAATAAAGAGACAACTTCACGGCAGGATGCCACCCACCCACTCAACCACTCAACCACTCCACCACCCAATCACCCAGCCACCCAACTGGCAAGGCAAGCCCACCCACTCACCCACCTGCCCCACACACTTACGCATATTAACAGGCTTGAATTTTTCAGTTTTTCGCAGACTTCTCCAACAACGCCAACCCCTTCCATTTTCATTTTCACGTGCAATTGAAGTGCAAAATGCGTTTGGCAATAGAATTGCCAGCTAAAGTTTTCCCCAAAAAACCCCGGAGCCCACTTTTACCCAGACTTTTCCACCACAAAACAAAACTCAGTTCCGTTTTTCCATCTACTCAATTTTTATTTTTGCTCCAGTTCGGTTTGGTTTTTGAAGGCAAATTTTTGTAAGTGAAATTTCAATGACATTTTAATGGAAATTGCAAATGAATGTAGAATGGGGGGGGGGGGGGGTAAAGGTGTACTTAGTGGCTTGGAAAAGTGCGAAAGAAGGCGGGGGTTACAGAGTTGCATAATTGATTCCAAACTTTGGGATATCTTGGAAAGGCCACTTACGAAGCGAAACAGAAAAGCTCTTGAATATTCAGATACAAATTTACACTACTCCTTGTCAGATTTTGAATTTTTTAAAATATTTTAAAAACGGTTTTTTATTTTTCTTCTAATCATCAAATGCTTACAAAAAATGCTGGATATATAAGAACTTTGTTCGTTTAGAGCATATGCGAACTTCACTAAAGGTTCGAAACAGATTCCTTGCCTAAGTCTTGAACGGAAATTTAAAAAAGTCATTCATTCAGATCCCATTTTGATGGGATTTCTCGCAGACACCATTCCCGTTTTTCCCCTTCAAAAGAGAAATACAGCAAACGCATCAGACAAAGGAATCGGAGGGAAGGAGATCGTTTCAGACATGCGAACAGAGTCCCTTTCGATCGGAGAATAAAGATCCAGATCCAGAGATCCCCTATGGCATTACATATTCGACTTTGCCCTCGGGCCTGGCGTCAGCTGTCTTCTCCTCAGTCTTAAGTCAGCAGTCTGCAGTCTACAGTCTTTGGTCTTCAGTCTTCAGTCGGCAATACGCTGTCTGCAGATTGCAATGTGCTATATGCCGTATAATGCTGGGTTGTCTGGTCGGCAACCGAAATAGATAGAGTCAGAAGAATTTCCAGCCTATGTCAACGTTGCCTGCGATGGGGAGAGACGTTCTGGCATTCTGTTTACCAAAATAGACCCACAACTGTTCCCCAATCCGAAAACGGGACTTTGAAGCGGTGTGCAGTGAGAAAAAATGATGACCCCATAAGGTAATATTAAGATATGTAAGTTTGTTTCTTCAATTTTATAAAATACCTTAGGTAGGTACTTTGGAATACCTCGAGTAGAGAAGTCTACTAAGTTTTATATTTCTTCTAGACAAACATATAATTAATGATTTATTGATAAACCATTACAAAATACTTATTTAGCACTCTCATCAACCTGTTTGTTTATTTAATATTTATTAGATATTAAGGTACGTATTTTTATTGAATTGAATTGATTAGAAATTGTACAAAACAACACAACCTATACAACATGATGATTCCAAAGAAATATATTTTTTACATGTTTTGCTCTTCGATTTTCTCGCAGTGCACTCTCTCCCACCGCTTTCTCCCTGCTTCTCCCGAGATTTTCGCATTAAACATGTCAAACTCTCGTCTCGTCGGCTGCAATTAATAAAGGTGCTACATGGATGCGACTGGGGATAGAAATGGAATGACTGGATCAGGCGACCGAGTTGTCTGCCGCGAGTCTTAAAATAGATCTACATATCTATCCCCCGAAGCTCCCGTATCCCATATCCCACATCCCACATCACATACTCCCGAGTCCCGTATTCTCCGGACTTTTCGCCTGGCGTGTTAATTTGTCGCTTGCCAGGGGGGTTTTACTATAAGTGGGTAGAAGAACTAAAAACCCGGGATCCGTAATACCCCCGTCTACGAATTACGCCCCCTATACCACATTTCTCGTTATTTATTTGCCGCGTCTGTTTGTCATTTTCGGTATTTGGTATTCGGTTTTTCAGAGGGTTGGGACAAAACAAAGCGAAATGGGGAAGTTGGACACTTTTTTTTTATGACCCAGCGCGGGGCAACATTTTTCAATGTTCCTAATGTTTTCTGGGGGCTTTACCTTTACAAAGGGGG